GTTGATTATTCTTGTAAACAAGAAAATTTCTATTTTATTCTTAATATATATTAATCATAATATTATAAAATAATTTATTTTTAAAGAAAAGATCCAGAATTTAATATCATAAGTGGACATGATATTCCAATAATAATAAGAATAAAACTAAGAATAATTAAATAACGATGATGAATAAAATTATAAAAACGTTCTTTAATTATATTTAATTCTAAAGAATAATTAATAGACTGTAATGATGGTTCACTTTCTAAATCTAAAATTGTCAATACAAAAAAATTCAAAAAACATGTATTTGTTTTTTTCTAGAGAAAAAAAAACAAAATTGAACTATTATTTACCAATATAAAGTTGATATTGATAATATCTTCGTATTTTTGTTCTATTTGATTGAATAAATATACAATGACATGTAACATATGTTATTGGTGCTTGTACAGTATTTAAATTAATTAATAATTCAATACTATTTGAATTATTATATTGATTATAAGTTTTATTATTAATTGTCCAATAAATATTATATTTTATATGATTAATTTGTGTTTGACATTCACATGCTAATTGTATTTCATCATAACGATATAAAATTTGTCCAATAAAATGATTATCATTTGTTATATATAATTCATCGAAATTATTAATACGTACAGATTGAGGTTGAATTTGAAAAATTAAATCATCAATTGAATTAGAACGATTGATAAGAAAAATGACTAATAATAATAAACGCATTGTCGACATTGATAAAAAACAAATGATTGAATAGAAAAATATGTCTTTATTAGTTGCCTTTTTTTTTTTTTGTTCTCGTCATAGAATAATCAAAGAGAAAACTTTCATAAATATATGTCATAGTCTTTCTGTTTTATATAAATATGAAATAATCATTTATCTAATGAGAATTTTCATGTTTATTTTTAGTTACAAATTTGAAGAAGAATATTTTGACAATGTATATTAAATCTTATTAAACATTTTATTTTGATGACAAAGTGAAAATAAACATGAGATATAGTATTGTATTAGTTTCAGACACTAAGCATTTTGAAAAATAAATTCATCAATGTTCTTTTGTTAGATAGATGTTTTGATAAAATTTAATTTCAAGACATTTTGTCTTCTATAGTATTTTGACAAAATATAAACTATCCATATTTATATGATTCACTGTTTTTTTTTTGAATAAGTTTTAATAGAAATATCAGAGACTTGTGGTCTTCACAATTTAAAAGGACAGACCGGTGACCATCTAAATTTGATTAGTTAGCAATTAAACGATTAGGTAAGTACTTGGGGGAGATTTTCGAAAACAGTATTCTGAAACTATTTCACTTTCAATCTACTCAAGACTAGCATTCCTAGTTTATTTCATTCGAATGTTATGCGAATTTTCATGAATCATTCAGTCAATTGACCTGTGATCCCTCAGAAAAGCGGCTAGACAAGGCGAACTCAATATATGAAGTGGAATAGTGCTATTGGTTATTAGATGGAAACTGATTTGACACGTTTATCTTAATGTTTCTAATATTCTACAATTAGTCTCTATCATGTTTGATCCAATATGATGAGTTACCTCTGTCTCACTGCTTTTCAGAATGATCATGATTACAAATTAAAAGGCTAAAATCGAGAGTCTAGAGAAAAATCTTATAAATCACGAATACAACAAGCTAAGAATATTGTTTTCGAAAATTTCTATCAAGAATTCATCTAATTGATTAATCAAATTTTGATATATTTCGATGATCTCGAGTCTCTTTCTTTTGTATAATGAAAACCGCTGGTTTCTATCATGTTTTAGTTAAAAATTACTCGAAAAACAATTTTTCATAGACTGAAATTAAATGTAGATATCATTGCCAACCTTCTCTATGTCACGGGGGGCATCTGTCTCGAGAGTAACATTTATGAAATAACCAAGCTTGAATTAATAACTACAATATACTTAGTATTCAATTTTCTATCCATATTTCATTCGTTTTCTACGAGTGTACAATATTTTATTTGTTATTCTTATAAAAACTATTTGTCCTAATAATAAATAAACAATAATTAACAAAAGTGTATTACAACCTTCCTAAAATTTGCTTCATTTCCGAAAATCAATCTCTTTCTATTACATCTTGTGAAACACAATCTAAAAGAGAGTGTTAAATTATAAGGATAAAAATGTGGACTTCCCATCATAGACCTTGATTGACGTAAATATACAATTACATCCTGTCTATCAATAATGTTTCATTCTAAATATATGAACTACTTCCTTATTGCATTTCTGAAGGATTAAGTAAAAGGATGGTAAAGAAAATGTGTTTCAAACTAAATAGAATAAAGCAATCTCCTGTAATAAGCAATAACAACTACATTGTATTTCATATTTTAATCCCACAGGGTTTGTGCTAACAGCTTTTTCTTGTGAATGACCTTTTTTTATTCTTGAGGGGGAGGGGGTAGAGAGTGAAGCTTTTAATTCAAGGACGGAGTAGATAAATATGAAATAAAGAATAGATATTTAATCTATTTTTTGTTATTTTACTTTTATCGAAGAACAAACGCATAGATTACGTCCATAAATATACATGAGAAAATAATAATAATCATAATTATAAAGATCTCTTACACAAAAGAAAAAGAAATTACAAAAAGAAAAAAAAAAAACACTGGGCAAAACAAATTTGTTCTTCTATCAAATTAAGGCTTCGTCGTTTTCAATACAAACAAAAAAAAGAAATATATTATTTTTTTTTTTCTATAATTTAAATTAGTTATTCATAATTATTTTCTCTATCTGAACACATCAATTAATATATATATATATATATTGTCTTTTACGATTTTTTATCCGGATATTAAGCGTACACACAATAGAGTACGTGTATATATATATATATGTTTATAAGACAAATAAAGAAGTAATAAGGGATGACTAGACAAAAAGAGACCGGGTGGACGGATATGGGTCAATTAAATTCGACTATACATCAGTTTCAACATTAAGTGGTTCATTCGATGCATGTAAATTATTATTATTATTATTATTATTATTTGTAGATGCTAATTTTCTTTGTATTAATTGTTGTGTTGGTGATGTTCTTTGTATTTTATGATTTGAAGTTGGTGAACGAAGTGTTGTATCATCAGCAATAGAATATGAATGAATAAATGCATCAGATTCATCAAAATGTTGATATGCATCAGCTGATGATGCATATCGATTTTTTTTAATATCATCTTTACTATCTCTTGGTGATATTGTTAAAGCATATTGATCTGGATTTATATCACCTGTTGATGGAGTACAATTTCCACCTATTGAATATTTTATATCTTTTTGTTCTTCAGAATCAATATCTCGATGATAGAAATAATTAAAATTTGATACAATAACAGGTACAGGTAATGCAATAGTAAGTACACCGGCAATAGCACACATTGAACCAACAATTTTACCAAATATACCTACAGGACGCATATCTCCATAACCAACCTAAATAAATAAAATATTTAATTTTTCTCTATTTAATAAGTTTGTTTTTTTTTTTTGTGTGTGTATGTTTTGATAATCTTACAGTTGTCATAGTAATCATTGCCCACCAAAATGCATCTGGTATAGATTTAAAAAATGATTCTGGTTCACTTTGTTCAGCAAAATAAACCGCCGATGAAAATAATATAACACCAATAAATAGAAAAAATATTAATAAAGCTAATTCTTGCATACTTGCACGTAATGTTTGACCTAATATTTGTAAACCTTTTGAATGTCTAGATAATTTAAATATACGAAAAACACGTACAAGACGTATAACTCGTAATATAGCTAATGACATAGCTTGATTTGATTTTGTTTTTTCTTCAGCTAATATAGTAAATAATGTTATAAAATATGGTACAATAGCAACAATATCAATAATATTCATCATTGATTTAAGAAAGACAAGTTTCATTGGTGATGAAAAAAGACGAACAAGAAGTTCAAATGAAAACCATACAATACAACATGTTTCAATAATAAAAAATGGTTCAGTTAATTCAGGTATATCATCTTCTTCAATAGTTAAACGAGATGAATCATAAGATGTATTGTCAGCTGGTCGTACACGATAACGTTTAAATTTAGGAAGAGTTTCTAAATATAAATATTAATAAATTAAATTTAAATATACATTTTTCACTTCAAATAATAGTCTAATCTATCAATTTCTTTCTATATCAAGGATATAAACGCATACAGAAAAGGTGAACATTATATAAAATACAATAAATATGAATTTTAGATGAAAAAAAATTCAACGATGAAACAGCAAAAACTTTAAGTTTTTATGAAATATTAAAACTTCAATTGAAATTCAGTGAAGTAGGCTGCTTTTTTTCGCTCGGTAGTATCCTACCTCAAGTGGAATGTGTTTACATTGCATAATATATTGTTTATTGATTTATGTCAACAGTATTTTTCCATGAAAGACTTATGTATGTTTTACTAGAGAATCGAATTAAGAATTACAAAAAAGAAATTTTACATTAGAAATAGATCTATATCGAATAATCAATTTGGAAATGTCAAATTGATTTATTGACTATGTCATAGATCATTGACATGATTGAAGTCTTTCATAATGGTCTTATTTGTTGTTTTTTTTTTAGATGATAATATATATATATATGTACTAATATTAAGTCGAATAATGAGTATATAATCTGTCACTTACCAAGACAAAATATGACAATTGACATAAGAATAACAGTAACAGATATAATAGCAATAACACGTGCCCATTGAGATGTTTCAGGATATTCAAATAAAAGCCAAACTTTACGTTGAACATCTGGTTTAGGTAAAATACGTTCTTCTTCTTTAATAAAACCTTCATCTTCACGAAATTTATTAAATGCATCTTCACCTAATTCAAAAAATTTGATTTCTTCTGTAAATATATCTTAAATAAGAAACAAAACAATTTTTTCTCGTATTATTATTATTATTATTATTTATATCTTACCAATAGGAACATGATTTGGTCGTCGAAGTCGACCATTTGATTGATAATAATAAAGTATAGCATCAAAACTTGGTCGATTACGATCAAAAAAATATTCATTACGTAATGGATCAAAAAATCGTACACGTCGTGATGGATTACCAAGTAATGTACGAGGAAAATTATTTAATGTTTGTAATTGTGTTTCAAATTTTAAACCAGATACATTTATAACAACACGTTCAGATGATTCAAAATCTGGATGTTTTGATGCTTCAATTTGTTCTTCAATAGTTAATTCTTCATCTAATGGCCGAGAATATGCCCTAAAAAAAAAAAAATAAAATTTAATATAAATAAATTAATTTGTTATTTTATTTATTTTTTTATTGATTTATGTTTGTGTTTTTTTTTTGTTACAAATCATAACTAATTGAAATTGATTACTCACAGCATGAGCAGTTGTTGTTTGATATAACTACTATTGACAAATAAAACTATCGAACAACACGTGTGATGATTTTGCTCCCCAGAGCAATACCAACACAACCACTGTCTTGGTTGTTGCATGCATAGAACTATACTCGCCAAAAAACAAAAAAAAAATAAGAAAAGCAACAGACAACTATCAACGTCGTCTGTCACTCAGTTTCTTTTTCTATTGATGTTGATGATGAGAAACGAAAAGATATAATAAAGAAAAGGTTAATCAAGCTATTAGCTTCACATTTCTTATCTCAATTTATTCTTGATCAACCA